CATGCCTGTAATTCCAGCACTTTGGGAGGCCAAGGTGGGCAGATCATGAGGTCAGGAGATCGAGACCATCCTGCCTAACACAGTGAAACACTGTCTCTACTAAAAATACAAAAAAAATTAGCCAGACGTGGTGGAGGGTGCCTGTAGTCCCAGCTACTCAGGAGGCTGAGGAAGGAGAATGGCGTGAACCCAGGAGGTGGAGCTTGCAGTGAGCCAAGATCGTGCCACTGCACTCCAGCCTGGGTGACAGAGCGAGACTCTGTCTCAAAAAAAAAAAAAAAAAAAAAAAGGAGTTTTCTAGTGCAAGCTCTCTCTCTTGGCCTGCTGCCATCCACGTAAGATGTGACTTGCTCCTCCTTGCCTTCTAACATGATTGTGAGGTTCCCCCAGCCACTGTGAGTTCTGTGGAACTGTTTAATGGAACTGTGAGTTCTCCATTAAACCCCTTTCCTTTGTAAATTGCTTAGTCTTGGGTATGTCTTTATCAGCAGTGTGAAAACTGACTAATACACCATACTTGTCACCTGAAGATATGAGTCCCTCTAAGTCTTGAGTTATGCACCTCAACTCCTGAGATACAGAATAAACAAGAAAAACACACATGATCCTAGAATTAAAGAATAGGAGAATAATCAGTGAATGATAAGATAAAGAGAGCAGAAATTTCCTTTCTTCCTCAGTCAGTAATATATAAAAAGCCCATTTTACTTATCAGGAGTAATCTACAAGATTAAAACTATACCTGTTGCCTAAGGATGCCCTCAAATTCTTTCCTAGGTTTTCAGGGTCTTTTCTTGGAACAAGTTTGTTTTGAGCATGCTGTTGTATTTTTCCATTCTGAGATATACTATATAGCATATGCATCTCCCTGGAAAAACTGAACCTGGTACATCAAGCTACAGGTATACAAATATGGTGAATGAATGCCAGAGGATGAGGACTGAGGAGTTTAGGTGACTGTGGCCTACAAAAGGAATTTCCTCTGTAGCACCCAATAATTGCTATGGTATATTCATGGAAGTTATAGGCCTTTGGCATTTCTCAACCATCCCACACACCCAGCTTAATGGCTTGGAGACAAAACACCATGTCTATGTGGTAAGAAGTCAGGGGCACTGTTCCAATGCTCAGACCACTATTCTAGAGTGTACTGCAGATGAAGCATATGAAAACATGGTCTACAACCACTGATAAGCAACATGCTCATAAAGCAGAAATGTCACTGTGAGGGAAGCAAGCCACTGCCCTTAATGCCAGCTCCAGCTCAGTGGTTCTAACATTTTGCCTAGTGTGAGATGCTGGCCTAATATAGAATATTAAAGCTCTCCCTAAAGTAGGGGTCCCCAACCCCCAGGTTGTGGACCAGTACCAGTCCATGACCTGTTAGGAACCAGGCCACACAGCAGGAGGTGAGTGATGGGCAAGCAAGCCAGCATTACTGCCTGAGCTCTACCTACTGTTAGTTCAGTGATAGCATTAGATTCTCATAGAAGCAAGGACCCTATTGTGAACTGCCCATGTGAAAGATCTAGATTGCATGCTGCTTATGAGAATCTAATGCCTGATGATCTGAGATGAAACAGTTTCATCCCAAAACCATCCCCTCCAACCTGGTCTGTGGAAAAACTGTCTTCCACGAAACCAGTCCCTGGTGCCAGGAAGGTTGGGGACCACTGCCCTAAAGAATCTGACTTTATTTGTAACAGAGCATGGGAAAGGTCAATCCTAATGCATTCTCAAAAGCAATGTAGATTTTGGTGATTAGTAAATAAGATGATGCTCCCTGAGAGCAAGAAACCAGAGTGAACCAGGGAAAGAGCTAAATAATGAAAGCCCTCTTGCTATCCGCAAAAACCTTAAAAACGTTTCTCAATAACTACCTATGGAAAGGCATCTAAATTATTTGAATAAAACTCTGGAACAATTTTTGTCCATAGCATTTAAGAAATATATAATAATTATCTAAAATTAGGGAGCCTAAGGGCTGTGTGTAATAAACTCAAAGGCAGACAGCTTGACAAAGAGAGCAGGAACAAAAACATTCAAAAAGAATCCCAATAAAACTGCTGCCTTTGGCTGGGAATGGTGGCTCTCACCTATAATCCCAGTACATTGAGAGACTGAGGTGGGAGGATTGCTTGAGGCTAGGAGTTCAAGACAAGCCTGGGCAACACAGTGAGGCCCCATCTCTACAAAACAAATACACACAAAAAAGCAAACGAAAAACCCCTGCTGTCTTCTTAGAATGACTAAGTGCATATTGAAGGCTATGCCCTATGAAGAACAACATAAGAGGCTTCATACTGCAGACAAATCTTTACTAGTATAGTATTTTAAATTTAATATGCAATTAAACAAAAGACAAAAACAAAACAATCTCTGGAAGGGGAGAACATTATCTGGAATTGCTTCAGTAAATTATCTAAAATGTCTAGCTTTCAATAAAATTTCTAAGACATGAAAAGAAAAGGAAAATGTATCCAATACACAGGAGAAAAACAGACACTAGAATCCAAAGCATTCCTGTGAGAAGGTCCAAATATCACTGTCATGGATAAATACGCTAAAGCAAGTATAAATACTTACAAAGAAATAAACCATTATTTGAGAAGCAATAGAAGTTATTGTGACAATGTCTCATCAGACACACATATCAAAAAAGAGGTAGAAATGTTTTAAATAGAATATTCTGGAGTTTAAAAGCATAACATCTGAAATGAAAAATTCAACAAAGAGGTTCAACAGTAGATTTGAACTAGCAGAAGACAGACTAGAAAACAGATTGATAATGATTATTGTTTACAAAGAATACACAGTAAAGTGAATAAGAGTAAAAAGCAGAGCGTTAGATAAAAGTGGAACAGGAGAAGACACAATAAAATATGTATTGAGAGTAACAGAAGGAGAGAGAAAAGGAAAAAGAGCAGTGAAAAATCTTCAAAATAATGGTTAAAAATGTCCCAAATGTAGTAAAAAGCAATAACCTACGCATCAAAGACATACAACAAATTCAAAGTAGAATAAATGTAAGGAGGTCCAAATGGACAGATATTATATTTAATCTGTAGGTGATGATAAAAGGGAATTTTGAAAGCTATAACAGAAAAACAGTTCATTGCATAAAATAAATCCTCACTAAGATTAACAATGAACATTTCATCAGAAACCATGGAGGCCAGAAGACAGTGAGATGACATATTCAAAGTGCCAAAAAAATAATATGTCAACCAAGATTCTTATATCTAAGACTAAAAGCTCTTAGCTGGGACATTAAAAGCACAATTCAGAAAGGAAAAAGAATTACCAATTACAATATATCAAAATAAACATAACCTTTGTTCTGTGTAGCACAATACTAATAAGAGTGAAAAACAAAGACAACCTGTGAAAATATATGCAATTGACATTTCTGTAAAATGATTGAAAGTATGAATATACTTTCAATATTCAAGAGAAAAATTTGCGTTTACAATACCAGCCATCATTAATGAAAGGCCAGCTCAGAGGCATGTCCCCTCCATCAACAGGTGTTAACCCTAGAGGACTAGAACCTAATCAGTTATGGCAAACAGATGTTATGCACATCCCTGAATTTGGAAAACTAAAATATGTACATATATACATTGATACCAATTCCCACCTAATTAGCACTCATGCTCTTCCCAGAGAGTTTGCCCAGTATGTCATTAAACGTCTTCTCTTAACTTTTGCATTTATGGGGTGGCCCACAAAAATTAAAACTTACAATGGTCCGGCTTACACCAGCTCCCAGTTTCACCAATTTTGTCACACACGGAATGTCCAACATTCCATAGGCATCCTGTACAAACCCCAAGGACAAGCCACAGAACATGCCCATTCCACCCTTAAAAATATGCTCAGTAAACAAAAAAGGGGGGATATGAGTAAGGATGCTGCAACACTACTAGCACAAGTCTTATTTACTCTTAATTTTTTTAATTTAGATGATAAATTTCAATCAACCATAGAAAAGTAGTTTGCAAAAGACCCTCAAGGCACAAAACCGGTGGTGTTATGGAAAGATGCTAATAGTAATGTATGGTGTGGTCCAAATTATCTGCTAACCTGGGGAAGAGAATATGCTTGTGTTCACGCCCCACTCAAGTCCTCTTTGGATTCCAGTGTGACAGACACATCAAACCATACCATGGCGTGGCTAAGGCCCAACCCGGTATCAAAAATAAAGGAAATGACACTGCAGGACCTGCAGCCCCAGATGATGTGGCTTCCTCCAATGACACAGGCCCTGGACATTACCTGGGGGATGCTGAAGAAGACAACTCAGGAGGCCGAGTGAATCCTTCTCCGGACACAGACACCATTCACTCCAGATAATCTATTCCTTGCTATGCTCGCTGTTGTACGTTGCAACTCTCATAGGGTATTAACCTTTCTTATTCTCTCACTTTGCCTGCAACCCATACCTGCTACACTCTATTGGGCCCATCTTCTAGATTCGCCTTTCTTCCAACCTGTTACCTTGGCAGACACCCCCTTCCCATCCTCTAATAACGTAACCGCTTGGCTGGGAGGGGTTAACATACCCCCAGTGGGGTTCCTTAGTAACGGCACACATTGAACTGAGGTGCCAAGTAACACTACATATCTCTCCTTGATTAGAAAAGAATAATACTGACTATACTCATGTTTGACTTATGTTATTTACTGATTCTAGGATGCAAAGCCAGAACACGAGCTGTAACCGCTGTGCCTGTCAAACCTGTCGCTGCACACATCTGTACTATTCAATCAACAAAACCTGATGCTAAAAACAGAAAGGGGGGAGATGTGGGAGATTGGTTAGAGTGGTAGGAGAAGGTATAGGGAAAGGAGGAGGCCTTCTGAAAGGTCAGAAGGCTCTGGATAGCTTCAGGGATGAATAAGCTGAAGGCAGCTGTTCTCTTAACCTGAGGCAGAGGGCAAGGGGTAGGTACAAGGAAGTGTAGGGGAATTTGGTGTAAACAGGCTTGTTTACTTACATTGTCTGGAAACCGACCTTTGACCATCAGCACAGGAGACTGCTTCCTGAAAGGGGAAATAATAATGTTAATTACCCACAGATTGTGTTGGCTGGGGCTTTCACTATTTTGTCTGTACTGAATAAAAGCAAGCAGCTCCAGCTGTTCGAGACTGCTCACTCTTCAGCCAGTAGTGCTAGGCATTCCCCTAATTGCTCTTACACTGCATGCCTGTGTCTGAGTACTCCTTTCATCCGTCACTTGGCCACGGTCTGCAGGACAGACTCAGCAGGTAAGGGTTATAAAAAAAAAAAAAATGATCATACTAAAAGGCTTTTTTTTCCCATTTTAGTCTTGCAATTTTGTAAAGAAGGATATGAAGCCCATAAGAATTCAGTGAAACACTTTTTCCCAAGACATTTATTTCCTATGTCTTGTCTTCAGAAGTTTATGTAGAAACTCCCGAGCTAGGTTAGTACTGAGGAGGGTTTCAGATGGACTATCTATGCTCTACGAAAAGCATGCCTCAGCATGCAACTAAATACCTGCAATATCATTTCATATGTAGTACATGTCATGTGTTACTCCACTCTTAGAGGTTTCAATCACACTTAATTATATGTGATTGCCACTCTCCGGAGTAGGATACCACACACACACAGCATTCCTGAAAATGGGAGCACAGCCTAAATATTCAATCACATACTTTTCAAACAACCCCTCAAATGTTTTCAGTCTGTAAGTGGCCATTGGCATTTATTTAAATGATCCCTGAAGAACCTACACCATTTTTTATTCACTTATTCCCCCTTGAGTGTTGTCCACTCATGGTTTGGAGTTTTCACATGGCAGTTTTCAGGACCAAGAACCTTCCTGCTAGGCTCTCCTGCTAATGGGAAAAATATCACTGGATGCCTTATTCTATTTCTTTTCCCATTGTTTTATATAAAACATTAACAAGTAAATTGCGTTCCCCAGATTTAGTAGCTACCCAGACATTACACTTATCTCACCAATCTGTGCCTATCATCCAAAGATCTGAGTTCTTCTACCTGAGTGCCTTACTACAACTCCTCACTACAGAATAAGCAAGGATATCACACAGGATCCTGGAAGCAAAGAAGAGAGAATAATCAGTGGGTGATGAGATGGAGAGAGTAGAATTTCTTTTATCCTCATCAAACTTTGAAGTGAGAAAAAAATCTCATTTTACTTACCAGGAGTGATCTACAAAACAGAAATTGTGCTAGGCACCCAGACACTCCTAGAGATTTTTCAGTGTCTGGGTTTTCTTAGAGCAAGGTTCTTTTTAGCATGTGTTTGCATTTTTCCAATCTGAGACACATGCTACTAGGTGACTATGTTTCCCTGCAAAACTAAAATTAGCACACCAAAAAATATGGACACAATTTTGGTGACTGGATTTCAGAGACTGAGAACTGAGAATTTAAGGTGACTGTGGCTTACAAAATTACCTGTTCCCCTATCTCCTAATCAAGAGCAACAATATACTTGTGGGTTTAAGAAACCTCCAGAATTTCTCATCCACTCCACAAACCCAGTTTAGTGTTTCAGAGGCTAAATACTAGGCATGTGAGGTTAGAGGTCAGAGGCCTGCTACTATAGCCATTCCTCATCACAGGGTTTAGGCTCTATACCAGGTGCAGCTGGCTGAGAGTATTAAGTACATAATATTCCTCATCTCAGCTCAATCATCAGGGGGAGCTTCCACGTTGGGAGAGGCAAACCAGAAAACCAGAATCCACTGCTATTACTCATCACCCTGGTTGTAAAGCAGTGGTATCAGTGTACAAGAAGCAGGACACTGCTTTATTCTCAGCTTGGGGCAATTGCTCAGGGATTTGTCCATTGAGAGAGACTAGCCCTAAGAGAACAAAGCATTAAAGGTTTCCTCCTCAAAAAAGAAAATGACTTCAGTTCTAACGGAAGATGGGAAAGGTCTCACAAATAATGTAGATTGTGGTGCCAAGTAATTAAGATAGAACTGGAATCAGGAAACAGACAGTTAATAAGAGCCTTTCTGGTAGAACAGCCTTTAGAGACCTGCCCCCAAAACTATCTGCAAAGTATTTAGATCAGACTCTAAAGCAATTTTGCCCATGGTATTCTCAAAAGCTACAAAATAATCCATCTGCAAACACTGAAGTTTATTACCTGTGTGTGATACCGCAGAGGCAGGCAGCTTAACAGAAACATCAGCAAAAGAACAAAGAACTCTACTAAAACCATGACAGTTTAGAGTGACTATGTACATATACAAAGTTATGCCTTGCAAAGAACAACATTAGGTTTTCCACAATAAAAAGAATATAGATTTTACTAAAACAGCACAGCCAAGTAAATCAACAAATGAAAAAATCAGACAACAACAATCCCCAGAAGCAAGATCTGCATCCAAAATTTCTCTAATATATTAATAAAATATTCAGTTCTCAACTGGAGATTCTGACACATACAGAGAAAATAAAAATATAACACACGGGACAAAAGTAGATTACAGAAAATGATTGCAACAGAGCCTAATGTTATACTTAATAAACAACCGTGAAGCATCCATTGTAAGTATTTTCAAAACACTAAACAAACAGCGCTGGGAAGTGTAAAGGTAGCTATGTTGACAATGCCTCATCAAAAGAGTCTATCAATAAAGAGGCAGAAATATTTAAAGAAAAGGAATTTATGGAGTATAAAAGTAAAATAATTGAAGTGAAAAATTCACTAGAAGGGCTCAAGAGTAAAAACCAACTAGGAGAAAAAAGAATCAGTAAAGTTTAAGACAGCTTGAAAGTGATAATTCTATAAAAATAAAAGAATAAAATGAGTGAAGAAAATGAACAGTGCCTCAGAGAAAGGCAGAACACTAGCATGGACACCAAAATATGCATAATAGGGCAGCAGAAGTGAAAGATAGTGCAAAACACTACAGGTAGCAAAAACAAAAGAAATCCAAGCTGAGAGACATATTTACTTTTTGGTAACAAAAAAAGAGAATATTGAAATATACTAGAAAAAAGAAACTTAATGCATACAAGAGAGCCTCTACAAGATATTTTGCTGACTTTTCATCAGAAACCATAGAGGCCAGAAGACACTGGAATAACATTTATAGTGCTAAAAGGAAAACAGTCAACCAAGAATCATATACCTAAATTTAGACACTCTAAGATATGGCATTAAAATATAATTCATAAAATAACAAATGGTGAATCATCCTTTATGAAAAAAAAGTTTGCTCTGTACAACACATGGTTAAGGGAATGAAGAAGTAAACCACAGACTAAGAAAAAAATATTTGAAAATCACATATCTGGGCTAGGCGTGGTGGCTCATGCCTGTAATCCCAGCACATTGGGAGGCCAAGACGGGCGGATCATGAGGTCAGGAGATTGAGACCATCCTGGCCAACATGGTGAAACCCCATTCTCTACTAAAAATACAAAAAATTAGCCAGGCAGGGTGGCACGTGCCTGTAATCCCAGCTACTCAGGAGGCTGAGGCAGGAGAATCACTTGAACCCAGGAGTCAGAGGTTGCAGTGAGCCGAGATTGTGCCACTGCACTCCAGCCTGGTGACAGAGTGAGACTCCATCTCAAAAAAAAAAAAAAAAAAAAATCAAATATCTGACAAATAAATTGAATTCAGAATGAATAAAACTCCAAACTCAATAAATATGAGGAAAATACCTTAACAGACAATCCAACAAAGCAGATATATGAATGGCAAATAAGTATATGAAGAGATGCTTAAAATTTCAGTCATCGAAGAGATGCAAGCTGAAACTATATTGACAAAACACCCGTATTAGAATAGCCTATAAAAATAAAAACACTCAAAACCCATGCTCATGCCAAGTGCAGATAAGTATTTGGGCAAGTGGATCACTGATACATTGTTCATGACAGTACAACATAGTAATTAATGCCATTCTTGAAGAATTTTTTTCTATTTCTCTTAAATTTAACTTAGAGTTAACATAAATCCCACTTTGGGCTATTAACACAAAATAAAACTTGTGTTTGCACATATATCTGTATGCAAACATATACCCTAGCATTATTCATAATCACTAACAATAGGAAACAATCCAAATGTCCTTCACTTACGACTAATATTCTACTCAGTAATAAAAATAAGCAGGCTATTGATTCTCTTCCTGACTCCTCCCTCTGTTTTTCTGTCTTTCTCTATGTCCTTGTAACTCTGTGTATGTCTCTCTGTCTCTGTTTGACTCTCTCTCTTTCTCACCTCACTGCATTAGGAAGGGACACCAAAAGGAAAATAAAACTATATCCCTTTTTTTAAAAAAAAAAAAGTGACAAAATCATATCAAAGAGTATAAATTTCTCAGTATGATACGCAAGCTGTAATAAATTGGTAATTTTCATTATATTCAAAAGCATGCTTTCAAAAGAATGAGCATTTTCCAGGTCCCTGAAAAAGAAGGACTTCCAATACCACAGAAAGAAGAGACACTGAGCTTCAAGTAGATTAGGACCTGGGAAGCAGGAAGGAATTTGGGAAGAACCATGGAGAAGCTTTGAAGATAATGAGGGCAACTGAAAAGTGAGAATGGGTTAACAGATCTGGATGTAGGGGCAGGAAATAGGTTCTGCAAAATTAATCATACTCTTTATGAAGAGAAGAATCACATAACCACACTGAAAGACTGTTTGTATTTTAGTCAGGCAATTTTGGGAAAATGTGTACAAATCCTGGGGGCGGGGGGGAACAAAAACAAGAAACCTCAACGGGAGAATTTTTTCTCAGTTTCTTGTATTCCTCAGACTTGCCTCAGAGAATTCACTTAACTGGATTATCAAAAGTAGGCCAGCAAGAGGGACAGAGAGGTGTTATGGGGTGGCATATATATACTCTAGGGAAACCATCTCTCTGCATGCAACTAAATACCTCTAAATTCACCCACAGTGTCATCACATATGTTGTACGTGATATGTGTTACTCCACTTGTAGAGGTGTCAATCATATTTAATTATGCATGATTATCACTGTCTAGAGCAAGGTACCACACACAGCATTTCACTATCAGTATTGAAAATATTTGCTCTGTAAATAAAGACAAACTTGAGAGAATTCAAATAAGAAATTAGAGACTGGGAGAAAATATATACAAATCACATTTCTGCCAAAGGATTTGTAATCAGAATACATAATAAACCAAAAATTCCACAATAAGAAATCAAAAAATCCAACAAAATAAAAAAAATCTCAATAGACACTTCATCATAGGAGATTGTGGATGGCCAATAAGTACATGAAAAATTGATCAACATCATTAGTCAATTTAAAAAATGCAAGTTTAAACAACAATATAATAAATCAATAAGCCATAGAGAATGGTTATGAATATTTGTCAATACCAAGTTTTGATGATGATTTAGGCAACTGTAATTGTGATGCATTGTTCATAGAAACACAAAATGGTAAAGCCATTCTGGAAATTCGTCTTTTTAGGTTTTTTTAAAAAATCAATTTAAACAAACTTTTCACAGACCTAGCAATCCCACTCTAGCTATTTATAAATGTGAAATGAAACTTGTCTTCTCACATATGTCTGTATGCAAACTTTACAGTAGTTTTATGCATAATCACCAACGACTGGAAACAACTCATTTCATTCACATTTGACTGTAATACTATTTAGCAGTTACAAGAGAATATTAGTTCTTATAGAAACATGGATGAATTTTGAATGCATTTTAAGTGAAAGGAACCAGACCAAAGACCAACATATCATGAGACTGCAATTATGCAGTGTGGAAAAAGATGATAAAGGTGGAAAACAGAGCAGTGGTTGCCAGATGTTAGGCTGCGCTCGGGATTTACTACCCAAAAGGCAGAAGGAGGTAATTTTGGGGGCAATGTAACTTTTTTCTATAATGATCATAGTAATATATACAGAACTACAAGTATTTTTTAAAACCCATAGAACACTCCACCACCATTGAAGAGTCTTATTTTTTTTTTAAATGCGTATTTCTCACAATCAATGTCCCAACAACACAATTTTCTCTCTGACACTCTCTGGAATTCAGGGAGAGCATCAGGGCATGGGACATTTTATGTTTTAAAGATCAGAGAAATCAACAGCAACTAAATAAAAAAATGCATTTTAAAAATTTCACCAAAAGCCATCATAAAACATCCAAAAAACTTTGTGTCCCCAATAACGCGTAGCAAAAAATAAATCAGAAGACAATAAATGAAAGAAAACAACACAAAATCTGATCACAATTAATGAACTGTGAGAAGATATTTGCAGTGTGGCCATGATAAGAAATAAAAGAGAAATTTATCCTGATTTGATAAGTAAATATCACCATACTTCAATCCTTTGTGATTGCCTTATTGATGCAGACAAAATATCACAAAGAGCCATTTCCAACTCAACTCTCTCATCAGAATTAAAGGAAAGATGCACCAACTTATTTCCTTTTTTCCAACATGAAGAGGTAAGATTTGTGTCTTGCTTCTTAGACACTTTTCCAGTCCACCTGACATATGGTGCTTAGCATCCCCAACTCTCTCCTCTGTACAAAACTAAAAGATATAGTACTTTTTGTGGAGAAACAAATAAAATTATATCAAACAGTAAAATTATTTGGGTACTATGCATAAGCCCTAATAAACTGATGACTTGTAGAGGATTCAAAGATATTTTCAAAAGAACTACCATCTTTTGGGCCAATGAAGAAAGCCCATTCAATATCAGAAAGCCAAAAAATCTGAGCTTCAGCAGAATAGATTACTTAAAAGTGGGAGGGCATTTGGGGAGGGCTAAAGGAGAAGCCTTTAAAATCCTGAGGGGAACAGTTACGGAAGAACAGGTTAAAGGATTTGAGGGATAACATAGGCAAAAGATTTTACAAAAAGAAAAGAAAAAAAAAAAAAAAACTACCACAGAGGCAATGAGTCTCACTGTCATCACACTGAAAGTCTTTTTCTCATTTCCATCAAGCAACCTGGGAAAAGGAATATGACTCAGAGAAGAACCATGGGAGTTCCTAGACTTGCCTCTGAAAGGCACTTCAGAGGCTTCCCTTGAGGGAGGCCAGCACTAGGGGTTTGAAGAGGTATTATACCTGCACTTTAGAGAAAGCTTCCCTCTGTGTGCAATAAAACACCTTCAATGCACCCACAGTGCCATTGTCTGTCGCACGTGTCATGCATTACTCTACTCACAGAAGTGTCAATCAAATTTAATTATACATGATTGTCACTCTCCAGAGTAGGGTACCACAGACAACATGTTGAAGGATGGAAGCCCTCCCTAAGCACCCATTTGTGTACTTTTGAAACAACTTCTCAATGTTTTCAGGCTGTGAGTAGCTGCTGGCAGTTGTACAAATAACCTATGCAATACCCACTCCACTTGTCTTTCTTCATTCATCCCTCTTGAGTGCTATCTTCTCATGTGTCATGGGTTTTACATGGCAGTTTTCAGAACTTAGAACCATTACGCCTTTTGGTCTAGGTTCTCTTGCTCATGAAAGAAACATCCTTGCGTGCTTTTCTTGCAAATAATCAGCAGTATGCAGTCCTCAGATCCAGTAGTTAAGCAGAAAATGCCTAACTCCAGTCTTAAAAGATCTGAGACCCTTTACATAAGTTACTTACCTCTACTCTGGAATCACAAAGTAAGTGGTGAAAACACACAAGATCCTGAAAGCAAAAAGAAGGAAAATAATCTGTGATTACTGTGGTGGAGATAGTAGAAACTTATTTTCTTCCTTAGACTCGGGAGTAAAAAGAAGCCCATTATACTTACTGGAAGTGATCTACAAGATAGATATGAGCTTGTGGTCCAGAGATGCCCTTATATAACTCGCAGTTCATAAATTTTCTTAGTCTATTCCTGGAGCAAGGTTGTTTTGAGCATGTTTTTGCATTTTTTATCTAACACACATGCTATTTGGTGTCTGCATTTCCCTAGGTCTACTGAACCTGGTACAACAAAATACAGAAGAACAAATATTTCTAGAGTCTGGGGTCTGAAAGAAGTTTTGACTCCAACAAATCTTACAGGCTTATTAAAAATTGAAATTGTTATACAAATTTCATATTCATCTAAACTCACAGAAGTGTGCACTAAAAAGAAGCTGTATTATGTATATGCATATGTATCATGCATGTTAATTACACATATATGTAATTGCATATATATTATGTATATGCATATGTATTTACATGTTAATGACATGTATATACGTAATTGGCATTAAGGGGTTAGAAGGAAATTCAAGTAAAAACATTCACAGCCTTAAACTGGAGTTTGTTTTAGAACTTAGTAGCTACAGGCTGAATGTATTTTTAAATATGGAAGTGGGAAAGTCTGAGAAACATCATCTCTAGTTTATAAAGTTTTTATTGAAACAACAATGAATACTAAAGGAAATCATCTCAATGCCTGAACATCTTGAAATCTTCCTTCTTTAATAAGAAAAACACGAAGCCTATATTTATAGTTGCAGGAGGCCCAACATTTTTCTAAAAAGTACTAGTATTTCTAAGAAGACGTCAACTCTCCTCAGCATTATTAACCCCCATATTCCTCATCTTAACTGAATGCCTTAAGGCCCACTGGCCACTTTTTGCCTCTATTTTCTCTGTGAAGCTTACCCAAAATTAAGAAACACCACCTTCTCCTCCATTTCTCAAGGGAGATAAAATAGGTTATAGTAGAGGAAGGCCCAATCTCCTGTGGACACTGATTAGTTTTGTTATCAGAAAGCTTGACTGTAATCTGCCTGTCCAATTCACCTTTCTCTCCTCTCTTACCACCATGTCGTCTTGTGCTGGGCCATTCTCTATTCCATCCAGCAAACATGCAGAAGCACATACATCAGTCATCATAGCCATGTGCTGGCTTTAAGCTGGTAGAGGATAGGAATTTAGATTCATTCTTTCAGACATACCTGTGTACAGCCGCTATCAGTTTAACAGGCAGCTGCAACTTTTTAAGACAAGAAACTCATGTTTCAGTCTCTGATCCGTTTTCTTCATGGTCAAGGATAATCAGTACTGGCAAAATAATACATTAACATGTCTTGAATTTCTTACTGGCATTTTTTTGAAACCTTCCAGGGAGAGAAAAACCCCTCCACCTAAAACATCATGCTAACAGTCACTGTCTTCTTCTTCTCTTCACCTCATATTCCACTGCCTTGAGACTATGTTACATAGCTTGACAGAGTCTTTGGATGTTGTTCTTTCCTTTTCACCTCTAAAACCAAAGTGTCTTAACAGTCCCCTGAATTTGTGACATAAAATCCCTTGGAAGAGGATGCAACTGTAGTGGGCTGCAGATAGGTATGGACATCAAGAAAAGATAGACAGGAAAAACTGAGATTCCCTTTCATTGCTAGGGAAGAAGAAATGTCTTAGAAGCATTGAGAGATTAGAGATTGGTTAGACTCCTTAATAAATACAAAACTTTGCTCCATAGTGCTTTCCCAGAGTAGTCTTCTCTGACCACCCCATTTGAAATTGCATACCTCTTCCTCTCTGCCATAATGCCCAAACCTCAATTCACTTTACTGTTTCTCTATAGTGCTTAAAGCTATAACACATAGTTAACATTCTATTCATTTATTACTTTTTATATATTTGTACCAATAGCATATCAGCTTTTTGAAGAAAGTTTTGCCTCTCCTGTTACACTACTGTATTTGCAGCACTGATATACAATATGATGTGCTTAATGATTTTCTCTTGAACGAATCAGTGTATATTTCATTTACTCTCAGCTGTTAGTTTCATGTATAATCTGGAGTTTTCAGATGACCAGTCTAAAATCATGTTGAAATCCCAACAAAGAGTCCACCAGGGAACTCTGATGCTCCTGCAAAGCAAATGGGATTCAACTTGCTGCGTATAGAAAGTGCTAACTTGACAGAGTCTCAATATTGTCTAAATCGGGGAGTTTCACTTCGTCGAATTTAAGAAAGGCTGTATCTCCAGTGCAAGTCTGCCACTCTTTGGCCACACCTCCTTAGACTAAAGTGTTACAAATCACTAAAGGTATTATTTGGGACAAATTTTCCTTAAGTACTTCAATCACTACAAAAGTTGTACTTGTTGAGCATTACTATACTCAGAAAAGTACATTTTGTAATGCAGTATATGTGAATGGTACTTTCCTAAGTTAGGACACTGCACACAGCATAACCAAGGTTGCTTCTCTGCCCAATCCATCCTACAACAATGTGAGACTTCTTGTTCCTACCCAATCCCCCCAATCCATGGCATGACATTCATCATTTTTTCATAAGACATGGCATTACCCACTCTATTGCCCTCCCACTTTCACTTGTCCCTGAGTAAAAGTCCCCTTGCTTGCTCTTTGAATTCTTGTACAATTTTCATGCCCAAGAAAGAATAAACCTCTTTCTGTTTTTTCTTCCTTATGTAATAAATATATTCTTCCTCTCTAACTTGTTGTTTTACAATATTATTAGGAAGTAAGCATTGAAAATATTTGCTTTACCACAAAGTAAACCAAACTCAACCAAAAGAAAACAAAACAGCAACAACAAAATATTTCCAATATACTCCCATACTCAGTATCCAAAAATTCATTCATTTCAAATCTACATAAAAGTAATCAAAACACACTAAGACATTTAAGAAGAAAAGGTTAGTCAAAGGGTGCAAATATTGAGTGGGCATAAACTCCATTTCCTGAATCTACTGAAAGGAAACTAACTTTTAAATTTATAACTGTTCAATTCCGAGAAAAGAGAGAGAGAGAGAGAGAGAGAGAGAGAGAGAGAGAGAGAGATGAGCTTAAATCCAAGAGTTGTCTTATTTTTCTCCTCTCAGCCCTTGATCAGAAGTCTAGCTGTTGACAATATGTTTTTCCATTCTGCACCACTGGCCATCAACAGTCTAACTTTCCTATGACCAGCTGAACCTGATAGATGAAAGAGAGTGTGTGAAGGAGACAGAGGTTACAAATCAGTCATAGTCAAGCAGAATAGGAACAGGATTATGGAACACTCTGCAGAGAGAGAGAAAAAAAAAAGGATTTGGAAACACACATCTGGCTATGTTATTTGCCATGGAGAGAGAAAGAAAGGCTCAAGGTAGAAACGTTTAAACCAGACTTCCCTAAGTCATTTTTTTCTTTCAATAGGCTAAAAAATGAGTAAAGTTCTCATCTCATAAAACTGTTAGAACTTTCACAAATTCAGTAAGTATGCCTGAGCCATCTGTGACCGAAGTATCTAATCTGTAAGAAGTTTGTTATGGGCAAAACCTTCATACTCTTTTTTTTTTTTTTTTTTAGCTCTGACAGTCTTCTGACTGGTACTCATTTCTACTTCAGCTGTATCCTGCAGCCGATTGTATGGAAGTGTAATGGGGGAGAGAGAAATCTCCCACCTGGAGAACAAAGACAGTTGTATCTCTTCATGTTTGCCTTTAGGAAGGAAAGTAAGAACTCAGAGGGTTACTTGAAGTGGGCAGTTAAGAACTAAACCCAACTGTATCATAGACTTGGTTGCTTGGGGTCTTTTAAAGACATGGGATGAAAGACTAAAGTAATATATTCACAGGTTTCTAATTCCCTGGACTAACTGTTCCCCTTGTCTTCGTGGAGTCAAAGGGTGCCTGCCTGTACCTCTCAAACCCACTGTTGACCCTAGCTAGCTCTCATCTTTGACTTTTCTGAAATGGTGTCCACAAGAACCAGACTATGTCTGTTATACCCCTCACTTGTGGTTTAATGTCTTTGTGATATGGTAAATGTAGAACTAAATAGCATTTCCCTAAACACACATCCCCATTGCCCTTTCACTCATGGGAGATCCATTCCCCACATGCTCACTTACTCTTCCTCTCAAATGCTCCCTCTGCTGCCCCCAAATGAATCACAGAGGCCATTCGATAGCTAAGTCTCTAAAATAGTTTTAAATAATTAAAATTGGATCCTTTGCTCAACGGGTCCTTTAAAATGGGTTATGTCCTCCAGAACCTATTTCCAATCAAACTGAGATGATTTCTATGATATCTTGGTCCATCATCAAATCCAAAAGCAATGTTCAGCAGTAAATTTTCCTCATTGCCTGGGGCATAATTCTATTTAGAAACTGTACTGTAGCCATGCTTGGAATGAGTATATCATGTGTGTCAGCTTTCTCCACATATCTTCCATGAGACAAAGTCTCCCGAAAACCATCTAAGGCCACATTGGCCTCAAATCAGAATCTCTACATATTCCAGAATAATTACACTCACTCACTCACTCACTCATTCTCTCTCTGTCTCTCTCCACCTTTTCAGAAATAAATATACAATTAAATTTGAGAACGATCTTTAATGATGTCACTGCTATTGGCTGTGCATATCAGGCATAGTGAGAGCTTTTGTCCAGTGCAAACATTAAAGCTTATAAAGAAAGGGAGAAGACACCCTATCAGTAGACACAGATTGTTCATGATAAGTAATGTTTGGAGATAAAATAGAAACTTCCGTTGTTTTGATCACAACTGAAATTTTCGCCAAGGATTGAAGTAGGGATGTAATCTGTCATGGTTTGAGATGAAGGAATACCAGAAAGCCTAATTTTCCATAACCAATAATTTGGTTAAAGGGGGCTTTCCTGGTGGCCTAGTTCCCACAAAAGAATATAAAACTTGCTTCCCATGCACTGCTTCAGTTCC